AATTAAAAAAAAATTAAGAAAAAATTTAAAAGGATAATAAAAGCGAGGAATGAAACGTTTTCCGTAGCCGCGTTGTTGCCAATGGTCGTTTTAACGCTGTTTTGGTGACTTTCTTTGTAACGCGTGCGGTGTCACCAGTCAACGGTATAATTATAGGAAAAATTATAAAAAAAAAATAAGAAAAAATTAAAAAGGATAATGAAAGCAAGGAATATATCGTATGAAGTCTCCTTACCTTTTTACCGTAGCTGCTTTGTAATTTACGGTCTTTCTAACACAGTTTTGGCGACTTACTTTGTAACGCGTGTGTTGCTACCAGCTAACTGTGTATAAAAAAAAACTCATGGCTGGAAACTTCAAAAACTGGTCCGGAACACCAACAGTCGCCACCCGATGGCCGATAAATTCCACAAAAGTCGACCGATCTCCCTCAAATTTCCACCCGCGAAAATGCTTAGCTATTGCCTACCTGTTCCAGCGGCAAAAGTTTCCAAATTCCGCTGCATCGATCCGAGAGCCGCTCCGTTTTACCACCCATTCTGGCTAAATCGCTTTGTAGGTACGCGTAATCCTTTTCCCCTTACTACGGGATTCAAATATCAAAGCGCATCGGGTCGAATTACACGCACGACTCCCCAGACGGTGTTATTTGACAATAGGGCAAACGTGACAACCTTCCTAACGATCCCATGGAGAGTCTTTTATTTGGTCAGACGCGCTTTGATATTCGAATAATGAACTTTAGACCCCAAAATGAAACACATTACGCTTGGGCCGCTTGTGGTCTAATATGATGTGAAAATAATGAACAGCACTTCCTTAATGAAACTTTCCTGTCTGAGTCAATGATCTCGAACACTTCAATAAAGACTAGCTTCCTGTATACGAATCAAAAAAGGTGTTCTATTTGCATTGAAGTGAAGGACAGTTAAATACCGTTTTTCAGGTGCTTTTTTTAGTAAAGGTAGAAAGGAAAACTATGAGATCTCCTGCATCTATTAATTAGTTCATTTGGTTAGGCAGGGGTCGTTAAAGAACCCACTCACGAGATTACTGTGATGTGGTCTGGCCTGTTTACTGGAAATTGGGGGGAGGGGGCATCTGTTAGATTCGCCTTTAATTGATTGTAAACTGCTTAGCAGTCTGGTAAAGTCCCCCGCACAGTGTTGTAAAGCGCCATGAGCTCAAGATATGAGCGCTATATAAATAAAAGTTATTACTATTGTTAATTTAAGTGTGATGTGACACATAATGTGCGTTGTGAAAGAGAAATTTGCTACCACTGTCGCATAAACTACCATAATGAGTCGTCGATATTCGAGTAACATCGTCCCACATGACGTGAGATGAATAGACATCGCCTCCTCAATAAAACGTTCGTGTCTGAGTCAATAATCTGAATCACCTATATAAAGTTTGGCTTTCTGTTTACGAATTCACTGCTTTAAAAAACGGCGTTCGCCAAGAATTGAAGAGAGGGAGAGGAGAAAGCCGTTTCCGTGGTATTTACTTCTTCTTGGTATGTAAAAAGACGATTATTTTATCAAACTATATCGATTTTCAGTGAAATGTGGCGTACAGTGTGCCGTGTAAAAAGCAGTTATTTACATTATCACCCAAACTACTGTTTTGCATCCTCTATACTTAAATTTTACTGTCTATTTTGGCGTGATATGAGTAGAAAGCTTCTACACAATAATAAGACTCGTTTTTTGGGCTAGTTCCCTGATACAGCTGCACACAGAATGGACTCCTGTTTACAAACTCATCCCTGTAAAAAGGAGTTCTATCTAAATTGAAGCGAGAGAGCGGCAAAAGCCACTTTTTAGATATTTGTTTCTCTTTAAAATGTAAACAGTCAATAAATGGACAAAATATGTGTGTTTTGGAGTTTTGGAGAGTCTGCTTGTTTGTTTTCTGCAGTGGCGTGTGCAAATCTTGTCTTTGTTACAACGAAAATTGAAGTCAAATGAGGTGCTTTTTATAGCTAGACACAAGGGCATTTAATGCGACTTTCAGTTATCGCGTTCTGTTGTAAAATTTAGGGTAGAAATTTCCAAGTTCAAGAGACTTGCAAATAATTTATTAATGAAAAGGTATTTGCAGATTATCTCAAAACTTCGCTCAACGTTTCACAAACGAATGAATTGTTTTGGAGAATTTAGATATCAAATGAATGAGAGTCACATTCATTAAATGTAATTATTTACTGCAAATACCTCTCGTTTTAACTTTCTGAGTTCCTTTTTGGGTAGGATTATTAAATTACAAATCACTTTAAGGCCGTCTTTCAATCTTGTTAAAAACAAATTCAGTACAACAAATTTATTTCTAAAGTTTTGGAGAAATTAAACCATAGTGATTTGAGAGGGAAACAGAGAAGAGAGAATTAATGCTATCTACCGGCATGAGGTCGTTACGGAACTTTTTGCTCAAAAAATTGCCACTCGGCCGATAAAACAAGAACTGAATTATGAAAAATTGGAACGAAGCTAGAGATTTTTTGCAAAGCGACTTAACACAAAACGGTACCGTCCGCTGAGAGCGGGCCAGATGGGAGAACATAGCCCGCTCTCGGAACCAATCACATGGTAGGATTGGAAGAATATTGATTGCTCGCTCACAAACTGAGAAAATAAATAACAGATCTATATTCAATGAAATGCAGCACACAAACTACGGTCGAGTAAAGGAGAGACTATTCAAGAAATTAGTGATTGTGTGGTTTACTATCAAATACTGACCTGTAGACTGATAAGTAAAAAATGAGAATTCTTAAAACCAAAAGCTGGTTTCTTGTTGAACAACAGATCTTTTGATTAATGTATCGTGAGGAAGCATTTAAGAGTTAGTCATTTAGCCCCGGATGTTAGCAGTAATAATTAAAACACTTTTCATGGTTTTAGGCTCAGTCAACTGTGAAGTACATGTTTTTTCTGGCACGCTCGGTAACTCAGAAATTTTTTACTCTTCTGAGGAATTCTTACTGGAACAATTCTTTCTGCAGAGGCAAGAAGGAAGTATTTTCATAACTGGAATCAAAATAAAAAAAAAAAAACATGCAGCACATGGCGAATTTCGTATCAAATTTAGTGAAATAACTATGATAAACGAAAATTGCATCTTGTCTTTTACGACTGCTATGTGTGATAAACAAGTTCTGGTACTCAAGATGCTAGCTTTTTGGATGCAAAAAGTTTAATCTTGTTTAACCGATTCACCTCTTTTGAGAACAAGATGTAGATAGTTTGGAAATGTAAGCGATGAGAATGTCATATGCATGGCGCCCGGGTATTTGAGTAATTTAATATCTATATATTTCCTCTGTCCATGTATAATCCACGTCTAGTATTCTATTATAGCATTCTCAAAGGTGATAAACAAGAACAGTTTGGGGATAGATCATTTAGTAGTGCTGCCCATGGACTTTGGAATCTGCGCCTGAGTTCAATTCTATCTATTTCTAGTTTGAGGGCATTGATTTCTTTTTTCTCTACAACTCGTTGGTTAGTCCTGATTCGTTATGCACTGTACATCCTCCTCTTTTCTCCCCCCGCTTAGAACTCGTGAAAACAAATCAAAATCGCTGAACAACGGCTCCAGTGCATCAATGCCAAACGGTGACTCTCGTATCCTACATCCATGATTATGTACGTCCATGTCGTTGGCCTTAGCTCCTACAGCTTCCATAGCTGAATATGTCAGTAATAAAACACTTTTACTCAAAGCATCCGACATGCTAATGAGGTAATAAGGGAAACGTAGGAGCTTACCAAAATTAAATATGACACAAAAGGAACCGAGAAATAGACTCAATGTTTAAAATAATGTTTTCTATCATAACATGAGATGAATGGACAAATGAGTTCTTCCCGTTAAAAGAACCTTCATGTTCGCTAATGACCTCTAATACCTCTATACAGACAGGCTCTCCGCTGTACAGGAACTCATTGCTTTCAATAAGCGTTCGACGTAAATTGTAGCGATGGACTAGTAGAAATCATCTTTCAGGCGATCCTTTAATAAATATGTGAGGATTCATTAAAGGAAAAGCATTAGACCCAACTTCAGTGAAATGTGACACATGATGTGCGTGGTGAAATGCAAATGTTTTGACATTGTCGCTTAAACTACTATTTTGCGTCTTCAATATTTGGGTGATATCGTCCATTGTGGCGTGCGATGAAAACATGTATACATATATAAATCATATGAACTTTATTTCCTTTAGAATTTTGGATTAGTTAGGTAAAATAAGCTAATATCTTCGAGAAATAAAAACGTTAACAAAACCAAAGTAAGCATGTAAAGATGAAATAAACAATTGTTAATAGAAGAGAAAAATCGAGTTTCCAGATGGGATTTGAACCCACGACCCTCCGTGATCTAGTCGGATGCTCTAACCACTGAGCTACAGGAGACTCTATGGTGAGCAAGGGTCAATTAGTGGGTATTGACTGGAACCGCATCACGCGGCTACACAGCCAAACATCAGCTAGCGCATAGAAGCTCACTAACAGCATCACGCTGTCACATTAAAGCATCACATGCATTAAAGCATCACATGCAGCCAACCAGCCTCCAAAGTGAGCATGTAAAGATGAAATAAACAATTTTTAAAAATCGAGTTTCCAGATGGGATTTGAACCCACGACCCTCCGTGATCTAGTCGGATGCTCTAACCACTGAGCTACAGGAGACTCTATGGTGAGCAAGGGTCAATTAGTGGGTATTGACTGGAACCGCATCACGCGGCTACACAGCCAAACATGTTTGGCCGCGTGATGCGGTTCCAGTCAATACCCACTAATTGACCCTTGCTCACCATAGAGTCTCCTGTAGCTCAGTGGTTAGAGCATCCGACTAGATCACGGAGGGTCGTGGGTTCAAATCCCATCTGGAAACTCGATTTTTCTCTTCTATTAAAAATTGTTTATTTCATCTTTACAANACCCTCACTCCTCGTTGAAGAAATTTAATATAGGTGACTACACATATTTATGCAATTTGTGTTTTCTTTTGCAGCAACAACTGTCCCACCCGGTGATCCATCATCAGGTTTCTCTTTGGAATTCAAAATTAGCGTAACAATTGTATATGCAGTTATTTTTGTCATCGCTTTTCTTGGAAATTCATTTGGGTTGTACGTTGTAGTAAAGAAGTCTTCTTCTACCAGCATCTCGAACTTGTTCATTGCTAACATGGCCGTTGCAGATCTATTGTTGACGGTTATAATGATGCCGTTGCAGGTTGCTTTTATTTTCGTGGATGTCGTTGTCTGGATTCCAGGAATATTGGGAAACGTGACATGCAAGCTGGTGTTCTACATTATCCCAGTTTCAATCGCGGCAACTGTGTTCACGATGATGTTTATTTCCTTCGATCGATTTTACGCCATATTCTATCCATTGAGAGGGAAGATCTTCCGAAAGCCAAAAATACTGTCCGCCACAATTTGGATTCTATCTTTGGCGCTGATGGTCCCATATCCTGTGATGTACCGAGTCCAGTATTCTCCTGACTCGGACGAGCATATTTGTGTACAACTGTGGCCCTGGCAAGACGAAAATGATTCTACATCAGCTGAAACCTATCGTGTACTTGTGATCTTTCACATCACGATTTTCGTTTTACTCTACGCATGGCCCCTTACAATAACTATCATTATCTACTTCTTAATTTGTCGTAAACTGTGGCTTCGAAAGATCCCGGGAAATGTGACAACTACCAATCACGCCGCAGCTGAAAAATCCAAACGCAAAGTTGTCCGGTTGTTAGTTATAATCGTTTTGGTATTTGCAATCTGCTGGTTTCCAAATTACGTTGATCATTACGTTTGGTACGTGCGACCTGACCTTATCAGTTCGATGCCGGTTGAAGCACAGCTATGGTTCTTATGGTTAGCACACGCAAACAGTGCCATAAATCCATGTCTCTACATGCTGTTAAATAGTAGGTTTCGCAAAGAACTTTTCAGTACAATGACTTGCTGTCCTCGTTAACGAAAGAGGCCGGCTCTTGCGTTTTTCTGTCGATTTCGTTAGAAATGATCCGGTATGAAGAATATTTTTCTTACTGGTATTTCAATGTGGAAAGCGATATTTCTTCGTCGTGCGACGTTTCATGCATTACCACAGATTATCCAACCGAATGCAAGTTGACAATCGTGCCATTTTGGCACAGCCAGAATGGCCGACTCTTTCTTAATAAGAACGTTCCTGTTTGCGGCAGTGATCCCAAACAACTGTGGAAAGACGGGTATTCTATCTATGAATTCATTGCTATAAAAGAAAAGCGTTCGACTTGAACCGATGTGAGGGACCAGCAAAAATAGTATTTAAAGCATTCTTTTCTTCTTAGTATGTAAAAAGCTGTTAAATTAAACAGACTTAACTATGAAAGTGAAACTTGACGCATCATCGGTGCCGCCGTAATGAAAGCCATACTTATTAACACTGTCGCACGAACTACCGTCATTGCATTCTCAATGTCGTCCATCATGACGAATGGACAGCTCTTCCTTGATTAAACAGTTCATTTTTCGGATAATAATCTGGTACAGTTGCATACAGGCTGTCTTCCTGTGTACCAACAACTATTCAACAGTCAGAGCTCACGCAGTCATAGACTGCATTTGCCTTTTATTTTGATATGTAAGAAGTCAGTCAAAGAAAATGATTAAAACTAATTTCAGTGAAATTTGACACAGACATAAATGCGCACATATAAATTCTTTCTGAGCACGTTCATGTTTGAGCGATTTTATTTCGCCAAAGACAGACTCATCAAGAAATTAGTAATTATGTAGTTTACCATCAAGTACTGCCCCCTACAGATTGAAAAGTAGAAAATGGGAAGTCTTAAAAGCAATTACTGCTTTTTGTTGAAGCACAGATGTACTATGACCTATTTGGGTTTCCCTTTCTCTTCGATCTGAGTGGCAATCACGCACCTCCACTGATCTCGAATAGCCTCTAAACGCAAATTTTATTGAGAGGAATGCGTGACAAACCAATTGAAATATAAATATTCACGTTCAGTTACTCATTGACTGAAAATGGCATAAGCATGCCGGAACATGTCTCTAAAAAAAGTTGTATAATTCTTACAACTTAGATATGTTACCAAAACTGACCAAGATCTGCTACATGCACGGTCGTCTTTCTACTGCCCAAAGGTCATTTGCACACCTTTTTAGGCCTTGGAGCTAAACCTTTGAATCATCTTCCGCTAAAACTTAATATATTTCCGGCATTCATTTCTTTTTGTTAAATAAAAATTCAATAGTGGAAAAGATAGGATTTGTTAACTTCAGCGAAATATGGCACACAATTTATCGAGTAAAACACTTTTGTATTGTTAAACTCAACGAAACGCTTTCCGAAAGAACCCGAATGATTTAGGGTTGCAAGATCCTACGTACATGAGCGGATGAGCATTTGTTTTCTAAATGAGTAGATAATACAGAAAACGGGGGTAGTTCAAATTAAAGAGAGAAGTTTCCCCGAAACATTTTCATTTGCGTAACGATATTTGGTAATTTAAATAGCGCCTAAGCAAACTAACTCTGAAACATTTTAAGGTTGCGACGATCTTTCCTTGTAGAAGAGCAGTGGTCTTACAAAAAGTATTACTCAGTTCCATCGATGATTAATCTACGAAGATTGACCTCTGTTCAGTTTTAAGTCGCAAGCAAAGTTAATCCAATGATACTTCAAGATTCCTTAAGTGCCCCTTTGAAAAAAAATTAAATATATTTCCATTACTAGTGTCCCACAAACGACTTTTCTTCACTCTCTAAATTTCATCATATTTTGATCAGGACGCGAAAGGAATTGACAGCGCTCCCTTAATAAGCACTTTTATGCTTAAACTAATGATCACGGCTACAGCTGAATACGAATTTATTTTCTGAAAAATTACAATCCTTGGAAAGAACCGGTACAAATCATTTTCAGGTTTTGCTTTTGTCAATATGTAAAAAGGAAAAAGATAAGATGTAATTTTAGAAAAATGTGGCACATAGTGGGCGTAATGAAAGACACGTGTGAACACTGAAGTACCAACGACAATTATTGTGTCGTCAATATTTGAATGATATCGTCTAATCACAGGCGGCCCAAGCAGACTGTGTGATTTGGGGGTCTAAAGTTCATTAACGGCAGTAACTAACATATCAAGATCGAATTTTAAGGATATATGTGGGCTGTTAAAAAAAGGGAAAACTAAAAATAAATTAAGAAAAAATTTAAAAGGATAATAAAAGCGAGGAATAAAACATCCGTAGCCGCGTTGTTACCAACGGTCGTTTTAACGCTGTTTTGGTGACTTTCTTTGTAACGCGTGCGGTGTCACCAGTCAACTGTATAATTATAGGAAAAGTTATAAAAAAAAATAAGAAAAAAATTAAAAAGGATAATGAAAGCGAGGAATATATCGTATGAAGTCTCCTTACCTTTTTTCCGTAGCTGCTTTGTCATTTACGGTCTTTCTAACGCAGTTTTGACGACTTTCTTTGTAACGCGTGTGTTGCTACCAGCTAACTGTGTATAAAAAAAAACTCAAGGCTGGAAACTTCAAAAACTGGTCCCGAACACCAACAGTCGCCACCCGAAGGCCGATAAATTCCACAAAAGTCGACCGATCTCCCTTAAATTTCCACCCGCAAGAGCGCTTAGCTATTGCCTACCCGTTTCAGCGGCAAAAGTTTCCAAATTCCGCTGCATCGATCCGAGAGCCGCTCCGTTTAACCACCCATTCAGGCTAAATCGCTCTGTAGGTACGCGTAATCCTTTTGCCCTTACTACGGGATTCAAATATCACAGCGCATCACGACTTCCCAGACGGTGTTATTTGACAATAGGGCAAACGTAACAACCTTCCTAACCATCCCATGGAGAGTCTTTCATTTGGTCAGACGCGCTTTGATATTCGAATAATGAACTTTAGACCCCAAAATCACACACATTACGCTTGGGCCGCCTGTGGCCAATATGATGTGAAAATAATGAACAGCACTTCCTTAATGAAACTTTCCTGTCTGAGTCAATGATCTCGAACACCTCAATAACGACTAGCTTCCTGCATGTATACGAATCAAAAAAGGTGTTCTATTTGCATTGAAATGAAGGACAGGTAAATACTGTTTTTCAGGTGCTTTTATTAATAAAAATAGAAAGGAAAACTATGAGATCTCCTGCATCTATTGATTAGTTAATTTGGTTAGGCAGGGGACGTTAAAGAACCCACTCACGAGATTATTGTGATGTGGTCTGGCCTGTTTACTGGGAATTGGGGGGAGGGGGCATCTGTTAGATTCGCCTTTAATTGATTGTAAATTGCTTAGCAGTCTGGTAAAGTCCCCCGCACAGCGTTATAAAGCGCCATGAGCTCAAGATATGAGCGCTATATAAATAAAAGTTATTACTATTGTTAATTTAAGTGAGATGTGACACATAATGTGGGTTGTGAAAGAGAAATTTGTTAACACTGTCGCATAAACAACAATAATAAGTCGTCGAAATTTGAGTAACATCGTCTCACATGACGTGAGATGAATAGACATCGCCTCCTCAATAGTACGTTTGTGTCTGAGTCAATAATGTAGAACACCTATATAAAGATCGGCTTTCTGTATACGAATTCACTGCTTTAAAAAACGGCGTTCACCAAGAATTGAAGAGAGGGAGAGGAGAAATTCATTTCCGTGGTATTCACTTCTTCTTGGTATGTAAAAAGACGACGATTTTATCAAACTATATCGATCTTCAGTGAAATGTGGCATACAGTGTGCCGTGTAAAAAGCAGTTATTTACATTATCACCAAAACTACTGTTTTGCATCCTCTATACTTAAATTCTACTGTTTATTTTGGCGTGATATGAGTAGAAAGCTTCTACACAATAAGAATACTCGTTTTTTGGGCTAGTTCCGTGATACAGCTGCACACAGAATGGATTCCTGTTTACAAATTTATCCCTGTAAAAAGGAGTTCTATCTAAATTGAAGCGAGAGAGCGGCAAAAGCCACTTTTCAGATATTTGTTTCTCTTTCAAATGTAAACAGTCAATAAATGGACAAAATATGTGTGTTTTGGAGTTTTGGAGAGTCTGCTTGTTTGTTTTCTGCAGTAGCGTGTGTAAATCTTGTCTTTGTTACAACGAAAATTGAAGTCAAATGAGGTGCTTTTTCTAGCTAGACACAAGGGGATTTAATGCGACTTTCAGTTATCGCTTTCTGTTCAAAAATTTACGGTAGAAATGTCCAAGTTCAAGAAACTTGCAAATAATTTATTAACGAAAAGGTATTTGCAGAAGATCTCAAAACCTCGCTCAACGTTTCACAAACGAAAGAATTGTTTTGGAGAATTTAGATATTAAATGAATAAGAGTCACATTCATTAAATGTAATTATTTACTGCAAATACCTCTCGTGTTAACTTTCTGAGTTACTTTTTGTGTAGGATTATTAAATTACAAATGGTTTTAGGGCCGCCTTTCAATCTTGTTAAAAACAAATTCAGTACAACAAATTTATTTCGAAAGTTTTTGCAGAAATAAATTAAACCATAGTGATTTGAGAGGGAAACAGAGAAGAGAGAATTAATCCTATCTACCGGCATGAGGTCATGACGGAACTCTTTGCTCAAAAAATTGCCGCTCGGCCGATAAAATAAGAAACAATTATGAAAAATTGGAACGAAGCTAGAGATTTTTTGCAAAGCGACTTAACACAAAACGGTACCGTCCGCTGAGAGCGGGCCAGATGGGAGAACATAGCCCGCTCTCGGAACCAATCACATAGTAGGATTGGAAGAATATTGCTCGCTCACAAACTGAGAAAAAAAAATAAGAGATCTATATTCAATGAAATGCAGCACACAAACTACGGTCGAGTAAAGGAGAGACTATTCAAGAAATTAGTGATTGTGTGGTTTACTATCAAATACTGACCTGTAGATTGAGAAGTAGAAAATGAGAATTCTTAAAACCAAAAGCTGGTT